GTCCGTGTGGAGGTGTAGCGAGCTCAAGAAGCAGCTCGCGGTTTCTTCTCGGCCCGACTTGCCCAGGCGTGTGTGTTGTATGATGTTGTGTGTGAGTGTGGGGAGCATTTGCAGTTTGCCTGCAAGGCTGCAGTGGCCGGCCCACCTGTTGAATGGTACAGATGATGCAGGTTTCCGGTTACCAAAGAAGTGCAGTCTGTCTGCTTGGGTCGCGCTTTGCTTTGGCCAGGTGCATCTGGTTCAGGTTCGCAACCCTCGTGCGGAGCCCAAGCTTTTGGCCTAGCTAAGTCGCATCACCTCTGTAAAACTGCGCGTGGCCAGACGGATTTGAATTTTGGGTTGCGAGGACGGCCCTTGATCAGCATGATGCCGCGCACGCTCAGAGTCCTGGCGGAGCATCTGGCGGGGCCTCTGGAGTGTCTTGGATTGTCTTGGCGGACAGGTCTGGTGACTAGTGAATCTAGTGAATCTACGTAGTGCACCTGGCATGTTGGCCAGTCCCTGACCTCCTGCAAGGTTGCACTTGAACCAGTTCCCAGCGACGCAACCGAAAGCAGTCAGAGTGACAGTGAAGGCTCCTCAAGCATGTGCATCCAAAATGGCGCCACAAATAAAGCGACAGGGCCACAGCCTGATCCGTCAGCTTCAGCTGCGGAGGATCTAAAACTTTGACCTCATCATGAGAGAAGCTTGTTGCACCGGCTGCATCCAACTCGGCAGGACAGCGATAACGCCATCGAATCTCCCGGTTCGAGGAGCTCTGGAATTTGACCCACCAGTTTTTTCAGGGGACACTGGTAAAGCGTAGTGGAGGCTGAAGGCCCCTTCAAAAAGCATTGCTAAGCGGCACTGCATGCACAAGCCGTCAGTGATGGTCAGTGTACATCTTGAGGCTTAGACCAGTCAGCCTCGATGGATTGAAGTCTTCTCCGAGTTTGACCGAGTTTGAGGGTTTTCTGGGATGGCACAAAGCAATCGCGTTGGCGACTGTATACTTTAGTTTGGGTGATCCGGCACCAGATCTTGCCAGCCTTCTTTGCTGGGAGATGCCGAAACCTCTTGAACATGAGCCTTGGTTGCAAAACGTCCAGAGCTGGCAAACAGGCTTCACATGACATTCTTTGGGTGAAAGAAGTATTCCAGATGACGCTGCTCCTGGAAGCCCATCACAGGTGTTGGCAGTGACTGCGCGAATCCGAGAACAGTGAACAAACAGCTGAACAGCTGCTGAGTTACAGCTCCGGGAGTTGCCCCTCTTTGTGTTTGAATATCGCCTAACATGTACTCAGCTCTTCAACTATGCTCTCATGTGGGAAAATTTCGGCGAGTGTATCTCTGGGTGCCCATTTTAGGAGACCATAAATGATACATGAAAACCAAGGCTCATTGTGCAGCAGACCTAGGCTTGTCACAAAAGATCTTTCCGATTTGCTATACGATCATCTGCCCGTGAGGTGTAAAGGGCCCAGGTTCTGCAACTTCAACAAAAGCAAGCGTCACTGACGCACAGGTCCCAGCCTCTCGCTACTCCCGTTGCCCTTTGCCGTAGTAGCACTCCTTACTGGTGCGTGGCCATTTCCGTAACGATCACATGTGGCAGATGCGGAGGAGGCCATCTGACGCAGACAAGCTTCCAGGCAGGTAAGCGCTTTTCTGAGATGACGGCACCATGATCAGAGCAGGCGGACACGAGGAGCACGCCGATGAGGTGCCTTACCATCAGCGTAAATACACTGTTGGTAGTTGGGCCTAGCAAGCTTGTTGCTCTTAAGGCGGCTCCTGCCGCACCCTGCAGCGTCCCCCCGGAGACGGCCACTCAGCATTTTGTCACCATGAGCTTGCCGCTTGATGCTGAGAAGTTTGTCTTGTAGCACACTTGTGCGCGCATGAACATGAAGCAATCGGGCGCGCACCGCAGCCTG